TGCCGCATAATACTCTGGAATATATCTACTAAATCATTTCTATAACTAAGTAGCTGAGTTCTGGAAAATCTGAGATCTTGTTAGAAGTCACAGCTGAGTAAAAACTTCCATTTTTTATTGGTTTAATCCAAATCTCGCTGAAGTCAACAGAAAAACTCTTGTTGAGTTTAATGGAAGATGAACTTGGTCCTAAGCAGTTTTAGTGTTCTTTTAAAACAAAACATGGAAACTTTCATATTAGTAAAATAGTTTGTGTTTTGTTTATATTCATTATTGCCATGGTTCATATTTGGCATAAACCCTTTCACCTATTATACACCCTCAATTGAGGCTCAATGGTGGTGTTAATGTTGACTAATGCAATAGTTTCCATTTTTTTGCTGCCTTTAATCTACTCATCCGCTGAATTTTCCATTAAAATTTTAAATCTTTTTATAGCCTGCTTCACACAGCCTTTATACATTTTTTATACTAAAATAAACTTGATTTGCTTGCCATAAAGAGTTATCTGCAGTTGTTGAACGGTAGTAGGTGGCATGTTTTGTTGCATTTACTGAAATACAAAAAAGCAAATTTTTAGAAATGGTTTTGTCAGAAATGTGAACACCACCTCCATAGTTTTCATCTACTGTTTTGACAGCTCATTGAATACTCTGATAACTTTTCCTATATGGTAAAAACTCCCATTAATTAATACCTTTTCTCTGCTCCCAATTTTGATAGATCTGCAGGAATTGTTAACACAACACTCACAATGACAATTGTTTGGATATGTTTTGTCTGTGAGTGCACAGCTCTTCGATAGTAAATGTTGTCTCAAGAGGAAATTAATGTGACTATTGGAAGAGAAATGAATGCTATTAAAGTTTTGTTGTAGAAAGAAACAGTCCTGGTTTACATTTCATTGTTATTTCTCCAGCGTTGTAGGAAACTGTGGTGAAACATTTTTTCTTTGCATGAATCAGCTAAGATGGTATATCTGCAATAAAAGACCCATAGCATGGCTATCACCCAAATCAGATGACTCAAACTCACATGCTCAGGCTTTGGGACTAAATATTGCTGTGTAGACATTCAGGCTCAGATTGGAACCTAGGTTCTGGGACTCTTCTCCCTCACAGGGTCCCAGAACTTGGGTCCAGTCCAAGCATCTCCACAGCAGCCCTGCATCCTGAGCCCTGTGAACTTGAGTCAGTTGACCCAGCCAGTTATGGGTGTTTAATTGCTGTATAGACATACTATACATTTCCTTGCACTCCCTCAGCAGTTGTCTCTTGTCTTATGCTGACATTGAAACTTCTTTGAGGCAGGGACTGTTTTTTTTGTTCCGTGTTTATACAGGCCCTAACACAAGGGGGCCTATGTCATGCCTAGAACTCCTAGGCACTATGATAATACACATAATAAATAATAATATTGGCAGATGTGCTATTGCCATTTAGATTAATGTACACAATTTTCTACTAACAAATTAATGCATAAGTGTATGTTTCAAGCAGCATTTGCCCATCTTAACATGTATTTGTCACTATTTTTCAGGCAAAAATTAAGTTGCTGTGCACAAATAATCAAACTGATTACGTGCTATAGTACCTGAAACCTGCCATTACTGGTGGGAAACTGTAGGTGTTGCTGAAGCTGCGTAGTTGGGATAAAGAGGCAAAGGGGCTAAAAGCACCTTAAATGTATTGGTTTACATTTTTAGTCCCATCTCAGATATCCTCTCTTTCCTTCTTGAATGATCTACTTCAGAATTTATTTGGATTTGATGCATTCCTCAGCTGTTTGGTTTTTTTTTAAAGTAAATTCCCCAGAATACCAACATAAGTGGTTTTTAACTTGTTAGTGAACCATGCCCTACAAGAAGCTGTGTAAAGTAATGAACAGCCTGCAAGAGCGATGGATTATCTTTAAATTGAGAAAAGAAAGATCTGTAGAAAATTTATTGTCTTTCGGGAGACTTGAGAGTAAATGAAAGTGAGTCTCTTTATTACACTTTAAAGGGAAGTTGGTTAAAGAGACAATACTCTAAAGACAATGCTTTGAGTTTAGCCTTCAAGTTCATCACTTTTTTCTCCCTACTGATCAATTCTCTAAGCACAATCTGTTTCTAGTCTTTTTGTCATCGGAGTGAAAAGGTCAGCACCCTTTGACATGGCATGAGCCACTGAGTGAATCAAGGGAAATGACACCACCAGAAAGAAAGACAGAGAACAGATCTGTGCTTAAAACAACTTTAGAATTGCTTCGACCTCCAAGCAAAGGAAGTTGTTTAGAAGTCCCAGGGAGCCCAGACATTGTTTAGCCCCTTGACTTCCTCTGAACTATTGGATGCCACCATCTTTAAAAATTTTGTACTGAAATGTCCACACAGCATGTGGAGGCATTTCAGATTCAGCTATCACAATGCTACTCTCAAGAAGTATCTTTAGAACAATCTAAAATAGGGGTATCAACAGTAATTCAAAGAGAATGGAAAATTTCCATCAGCTTAACACAGAGCAAGAGACAGACTCTTACACTTACCACAATGGGAGAACATACAGCATGAAATATGTAAAAAGTTGATATCTTCTAGACATATGTAATAAAATAATGACTATAATCTAGCTCCTATATACTAATATAACCTTATTCATTGAAACAGGTTAAAGCCACTTCCTTCCAAATGATATAACATATTTGTAACTCAGCGCAGGTCTACACTTTGCATCAGTGCGGCGGTAGTACTTCAATGAAGACTCTCCTATGCTGACAGGAGAGCTTCTTCCATTGCATAGTTAATTCTCCTTCTTCAGAGTCATTAGCTATGTCAGTGAGAGATGCTCTCCCATCCACACAGCACTGTCTACACTGGGGGTAAGGTTGGTATAACAATGTTTCTCAGCAGTGTGGATTTTTCATACCTTTGAGTGAGGTAATTATATTGATATAGATAAGAATATTAGCAATATATAAGCAAAATTGGGTATATGCTTTTTCCCTATTTTTCACTTTTCTGAATGTGAAATTGCTTATTATGTAAAAGCTCAATAAAATAAGAATATGGTGAATTAAATTTATTTTACTAGTATAAAGATTATTTTGGGGAGATGTTCATGAGAGTTAAGCAAGGGAAGGGCTAAATATTTCAGCATGTGTCTAGGACAGGAAAACTTGTGGAGAATTATCCTCCAAGCAGAGTTCTGTGTTTTTCCATTCAGTCAGTGAGGTGAGGGAGCTACCACGCAGCTTCATCTGTCTCTCCTCCATGCCCTCTTCTTATTATCTCATTCCTAAAGCACCTTTAATCCAGTTGGATTCTAGAACTCTGAAGGCTAATACTGTCCTGTCATTATACCAGGCCTGGTGTAGCATTGCAACTATTTTTGTGTATGTTCATGGATGCTCTATCCTCCTTATACCACCACTCTCCCAGATTACCTTTGTTTTACTAATAAAGAAAAAATGCAGCATGATGGAAAGAGCACCAGATCTGCCCTGGCCTAAGCAAGT